ACCCCATCTAGAATGTAACATAGGTTTTTTTCTTTTATGGCAAGTACCCTTAAGGCTGTTTTATCCAGTTTTTCTTTTTTGTACCAAGCACTGATTTTAGAAATAGGATATGGCTTTAATGGTAAAGGAAAAATAGGGTAAAGGTTAATATTTATTTGTGTATAACCTTTTCTATAAAATAATGCATTTAATATATCTTATAAACACAGCACAATAAAGTGATTGGGAGACAGAGTTGAGCTATAAAAGAGAAAAGAAAAAAGACAAAAGTAGAAAGAAACAGTTCTTTCAAATACCAGAAGCTTACTGTAAACTGCATCCCATTCATACTCCATAATTTAAAATAGGCTGCTAATTTCATTTCTAATAAAATTTCTGATTTCCTAACTCAGAAATAAATCTATTCCCCTTGAGCTAAAATACCTATTGTAATTGTAGTCACAGAAAATATACCTTATTCTTTAAAATTTTTATTACATTTATTTACTCTGTGTGTGTGTGTATGTGTGTGTGTGTGTGTGTGTGTGTGTGTGTGTGTGTGTGTGTGTGTGTGTATAGATCAAAGGACAACAGGTGGGATCAGCTTTCCTTTTCCACCAGGGATCAAAATCAGGTTGTCAGACTTGGTGACAAATGCCTTTACCTAAAGATGGATGTCTCTAGCTAATATTTCCTTATTCTTAAGGCAAACAAAAATTAGTCATATGGGTTTAACTACTATTTCTGTTTGTATCATTATGTGCAATAAGTAACTAATTCTTTTCCTTTGTTTAAATTCGCCTTTGGGAAAAATTAGTAGAACACAGGTGATATTAAATGGGAAAGGGAAATCCTGGAGAGGGAGATTCAAGTAGTGAGGGGAGGGTGATACAAAAGAACACAGACAGACAGACAGACACACACACACACACACGCACACACACACACACACACACACACACACACACACACTGAGTTACTTAGCACAAGGGAAAATGTTCTTCCCAGAAGCCATGGGTTGTCAAATAAACAACCCAGTACCAGGCTTGTATTCAGTAAGCTGCTTAAAGAAAGAGAAAATATTAAGTCGGGAGGAGTTAGGAGGTGATTTGGGAGGAGTAAGAAGGACAAATAGGGATAAATACATTGTATACATGTATGAAGTCCTCAAATAATATATTACTAATAATAAAATTAAAATGTCCCTGACGAAAAGAAATCTCCTTTATTTTTTTAAATAAGGATCGAATCCAGGGATATGGACATGCCAAATATGTGCAGTAATACTGAGACATATCTCTAGTATTTTTATTTTCTAATTCTTAAACAGGGTCTCCCTTAGTTACACAGGCTGTGCTTAAACTTGTAATTTTTCTGCCTCATCTTCCCAGGTAGCTAGGGCTAGAGGTCCCAGCTCTATCGTCTTTTATTGGCAATTACAGAGTTTGATAACACATTATTCTATCATGTAGAATAAGTGTCCCTGGAACTCAATATTTATAACTGAAAATGTAGAAATTAAGACAAAATCATGAACTAATTAGATATATTTACATATGTTTTGATAACCTGTCAAAATATTTGCCTATCTGAATACTTTAAGGCATAAAACCAGTTCTACTTTTCTTAACATTCTATAGCAGTGGTTCTCAACCTCCCTAATGCTGCAACCCTTTAATACAGTTTCTCATGCTGTGGTAACCCTCAGCCATAAACTTATTTTTGTTGCTACTTCATAACTGTACTTTTGATACTTTTTATGAATTATAATATAAATATCTATGTTTTCTGGTGGTTCTAGATGATCCCTGTAAAAGGTGGTTCTGACCCCCCCCCACAAGGGGTTGCAACCCGCAGGTTGAGAACCATACTGTTCTCTAGTCTTATGATTTATTTGTAATGCAATTTCAAATAAAGGAAGGCATCTAGTAGTGCTTTCTACTCTTGGGGCCTCTTTGCCTCAAGATAAGCTAAAAGAGCCCAATTTTCCTATATTTAGTAGCTTCAAAATCTATCTAGTAATATTTCTTTATCATACACATCAAAATTCAAGACTAATATGTTTTTAAGCAGTTGGTCAGAATTTCATAAAACCTGTTCACATACTAACTGAGAAGCCAGCAGGGAACTCATCCAGACTCCCTGAATGTAGTGTCCGTGAGAAGGCCTCAGAATCTCTGGGACCTTGGGTCAGTATTTATCCCTGGCGTACGAATGAACTTTTGGAGCCCTTTCCACATGGAGGGATACTCTCTCAGCCTGGACACATGGGAAAGGACCTAGGACTGTGGAGATCCCCCAATGGAGGGCCTCACCCTCCCTGGGGAATGATGTGGGGATTGAGTGGGGGGCTGGGGGGTTTGTGGAGGGACAAATGAGAAGGGGTGGGAGAGGGAGTTGGGATTGACATGTGAAGCAAGCATGTTTCTAATTTAAATAAAAATATATTGAGGAAAAAATAGCCAAAAAAAAACCTGTTCGTGCACCCAGGTTTTAGTGTAACTTATTAAACCATGGAACACTGTAATTGATATCTAGTTAAAATTTTGACAGAGCTGGTGCTTATGCATAATCCCAATTACTTCTGGAAGCATTTGTCCCTTATAACATATTTTTATGTCCTCATGGGTCCTATGACAAAGGACAAAATTCCTGAAGTCCTTTCTGTGCTCAGATTTAGATTTGTTGATTTAGACTCTGAGATTTAGATTTTTAAGTTTTGTAGTATAAAACTCACTGAATTTATTAAATTCACACTATGCGTTTTTGTCATTGTTTAGGTAAGTTGATTATAGCTATGAAAGACTGAAGCAACAATTTCTGTTATTCAGAAATCAAATTGCACTGTTTTTTAAGTGGTAGGCATTTAATGCTGGATATTAATAATGCTAAATAAGTAGTCTACCACTGAGATTTGTCCCCACTATCTCTTGTTTTAAAAGGCTTTCTCTTCACAAATTTTATGATGAATATTGAATATGCAGATAATGCTAAAATGGGTCAAAATTCTTCACCACTGCTAAGATGAAAATCTTCAGTTATGAGTTGGTGAGATGGCTCAGCAGGTAAAGGTGTCTGCTTCCAATGCTGATGACCTGAGTTCAATCACCAGGACCTATGTGGTGGAAAGAAAGAACTCCCACAAGTTGTCTTATGGTACCTACATGAACATTAAGACTTGTGTTCGTGCAAAAACACATACGTGCACGCATGCGCACGAGCACACACACACATACATACACACAGAGACTTAAAAGTCAATGAAAATAAAACGTGAGCATTCAAAAACATATTTCCATGCAAACTGCTATAATGATACTGATTAGTAAGTATTCTCTATGCATCTGTATTAAAGTCTCTTAAAATGGGTAAGAAAATCCTTAGCGTTCTTTTTTTTGGGTTTTTTTTAATCCTTAGCATTCTTATATATCTAGAGAAATGGTAAACATTTTGAAACAAAATCTTTTCTTGACAATGGAGGATACTCAGTTACCAGAGACATGTGAGGCTTTAACAAATATTTATTATTCTTCCCACATTAGAGGGGCAAATACATTAAGTAAAGGGAAGGATACTCAGAATACTGGATCTAACACATTAAATATGAAAGAAAATAGGATAAGACAAATTTGATATAAGCAAGAATATGAGAGTATTAAGAGAGTAATTAGAATAAGACTGTTTAAATTTCATTGGTATTCTGACATCAAGCTAAGCAATATTATGGCTAAAGAAACACTAAAAAGTATGAGTATGGGAAGAAAAACTCCTCATGGCCTATGTGAGATTCTCCACCTGGTACTGAGATGACACACATATATTAAAACACTGTGGTTTATTCGAGGGAAGTCTCAATCTACCAATACTGCATTATAACTGAATTAGCATTTCAGTCTTCACTCTACAGCGATAAAGGGCTCTATATGTCAATCTAAATAAAAAATTTAACAAGCAAAGTCAAAGCTGATTATTTACCTTTGAATCTTTAATAAAACACAAATAGTTAAATTTGGAACATTTTATAAACATGTAAAAACACAGAGCTCCTGGATTCTGAATTGAAAATTCATTTGAATTAAATTGGTCTACATTTCCTGTAAAAATATATTAGAGACTGGGTCCTAACTCCTCTTTCTTCTGAGTATTTATTATCTCTAATATTTTTATAATTTAAGGCATGTAGAAAAATCATTCTCAGTATTGGAAAATGATTTTACTGACTTATTCCTGTGTGTGTGTGCAGAAATCACAGGATAAACATTTGGAGTTAGTTCTCTTCTTTCATCCTTACTTAGGTTTTAGGAATCACATTTAGGCTGCCAGGCTTGAATGACAAGTCCCTGTACCTGCTAAGTCATCTCATCATTCCTCTCACCTAGTAATTTGCTAGTAAATGCCCATGTCACTATTTTGCCTAGGGCATACTTATGTTAATAAAGCTACACAATTAGAAATTAAAATATTTAATATGGTTTAAAAATTGCTCTATCTGCAGTAACAAAAAAATTTCAAATTTTCACTTTATGTATATGGGTGTTTGTTTGCCTGCACATTGTATATATGCACCAAGAGCATGCAATAACTTCAGATACCAGAAGAGAGCATCAGGCTCCCTGGAACTGAAGTAAGTAGTTGTGAGCTAACCAGTGTGGATGCTAGTAAGAACAGCCAGTACTCCTAATCATGGAGCCATCTCTCCAGTCCCAGTAAGAGAGAATTACAAATATTCTCTTAAATCTTCATAGATTGAGTTAAAAGTCAAAGTGTGCTTACTGAAAAACAGCACATACAGAAGAAGAAAAAATTATAGTATTTCTTAAAATATTAGTTCCTAAACACTCGAAGGTACTTAATTTTTACTTCTGTGCATAGTATAGAGTATATAATTTCTTTAGATTTAGGCTTTTACAATGATAAATATAGGTGTGAATAGTAAAATTACTATGGATACCCTTTTGAAAGAATAAGCTATTCTAGATACAAGCTTTACTTCAAAACTATGTGATTGCTATAGAAATTACCTCTGTACTAACATCACATTGAGTTGAAGCTGCCCGGCACTTGAGCCTGAGTTTCGCCACCAGTTGCTCAAAGTCTTTCACCTCATTGAAACGAAAAGCTGTTTTTCCTTTGATGCTAATGATTACAGATCTGTTGGAGTCATCAGTTTTATCTACAGCTAAGACCTGGGGAGTAAAAAGACAAAGAAGTGAATCACATTTTCTCCTAGTGCTGGCACATTCAGATAGTATATGTTTGGCTTGCTCTGTCATGGCTGAGAGTTTCAGTCTGTGGTATGGCTTACTGAGAGATTTGTGCTAATGGTGATACAAATCTCCTTAGTACAAGTTACTTCACTTTTCAAGGAAAAAGCTAAAGTAACATGGCCTTTAAAATTGATAAGATAAACAAAACCTTCAGTGATGAGTTCTAATTTTTGACTGACATGAAAGTTATTTCTATTATTTCTGAACAAGTACATCAAATGTGATAGTCTTAATTTTGGTAACCATATCTTAAAGGTCAGAATGATCAAGCTTATTTGTGTCATCCTAAACCTTTATCTGTTTTTAAAATTTCTCCCACTTTTACTTTTTGCAAATCTTTTAAAAGGAATTTAAAAATATCTCACAAGCTAGTGTTTTTAACTTGAAGAGTAATTTTGTACTTAAATTATTATTTTAAATTGCTAAGAGGATACATTTACTGAGCTTTTTACTAACTCACAGAATTAAAGGGTATTCCATAAATTAAAAACTTATATGACCCCAAATTTATGTTACCTCTCGTAATGGAATGATTAAACTACATAGATTTCCATCCTGGCTAGCAAAGCAGATGTAGTTTTCTGAAATGCACATTTTTCCATGAGTACTGAAGTGGCTGAATGGTACCCATAAGAAACATTCATGTACTTCTTTCAAAGTCTCTTCTTTGGGTAGCCTAAAAAAGGCTTTGAATTGCTCACTGTGGGCCCGATATTCTAAACCTCTGTAGAAAAGAAAAGAAAACGGGAGGAGGGGCTCAAATGGCAAATTCTAAAGTATGCACATATCTATATGCAATATCTATTTGACTAATCTATATAAACTATAAAGCAGAAACATTAACATTAAATAGTATGTTCTTAATGAATTCTTAAATGGAAAAATAACACAGATTCCTGATAACTTAATTTATTGCTTTTTCCAATTTCATTTTATTCATAGATTAAGATGCATAAAAGTTAGAGACAATACAGGTCTCAAAATAATCTGTTAGATGATTATCACAGGGACTAGTATTATAGTACGCTAATAATGTATTACTATGGCTAAAACCAACCTTGGAATACAGTAATTTACATATTTGGTTATTAGAAAATCAAGCACTTATACAAATAAAAGTAGATAATCCAAATTGGTGGCATTAAAGTTTAAAAAGGAAAAGCAGACTATAAAACAGAATATTAAGATTCAGTTAGGCAAAATTTTACATGGTTGTTTAAAAACATCCAAAATTGGAGCAGAACCAAACAACACTGCTTGCACCATGCTGGGCATAGGACAGGAGTTGGTAAACAGAGATGAATCTTGTTAACTGACAGATAAATACATAAACTCAAAGCTGTTGCTCTAAATAACATGATTTTAAAGGGGCACTAAGCAGCAAATGCCATCTGGAGTAGTAAGGAAATTATGCAAGTTCTAACTCAAAGCCAACAAAATTGAAACTAAATTCAGCCTTCCTGAACCTGCTGTTTGAAACTGTAGTACTTCATCATGTCTAACAAAATAATCCTGATATATCCAGAAACCCATGTAAAGCTTTAGTCTACTTAAGTTGTAATTTGGTGGGCTATTTCACTATTACTTAAATGGATGACAATCACAGCCTATTTGTGTGGATAGAAAATTTTCTGGGACATATTATTATAAAAGGAAAATAAATATGTTGTGTTAAGCCCTATTTTTGCAAACAAATTCAAATCTATGTAATAAAACACATGAATGGATATATACTAAATGCTTGCAATTGTGCTTCCAGATTGTTTCCATTCTACAGCACATGTTTGTAAAGCAAACAGAAGCAATAAAGATGCTCTATTTAAAATGTGATCTGAAGAATTTTTCAGTAAATTTATTCTTAACTTACTAGAAAAAGGGATTTAGATATATGTGTCTTTCAGTATGCTAGTAAAAGATATATAAAGACAAAATTTACTATACCTCATTTAAATAAAGAGTTGTTAATGGACACCTCATTGACACATATTCTCTTGGATCATATTTTAAGGTAAACTAATTTACTTTTTAAATGATGTTTTTCAATTTTGGATTTTTCCTTTTAATTTTTACATACATGGTGTTTTGCCTGCATATGGCTCAGTATACCATATGCACACAGTATCTGAAGAATCCAGTAGAGGGTGTTGGATTCCCCTGGGACTGGAGTTACAGATGATTGTGAGCTGTCATGTGGGTGCTGGAAATTGAACCCAGGCCCTCTAGAAGAGCAGCCATTGCTCTTAACCGCTGAGCCATCTCTCCAGTCACCAAATTTTATATTTAATTAAAATATTGTATCACCTCTCCCTCCAACCCCATCCTTTCCTATCCCATCATCCTCTGTGAAATTCATAGCCTCATTTGCTTTATTATATGTATATATATGTATGTATGTATATTTGTACACACATATATATGATAAACACATAAATACAACTTGCTTAGTCTGTTTAGTATTGCTTGTATGCATATGATTTTAGGGCTGGCCACTTGGTGTTCGGTAACCAATTAGGGGCTTATCCACATGGAAAACTAATTCTTCCTTTCTCAGCAGTCATTAGTTTCTTGTATGTCTTCACCTAGGTGTGGGGTCTTGTGAGGCAAAATTATTTTTAAAAGAATGTTTCTAGTGGTCAATCAAGGAAAAAAATTATAAAAGCAAATGCCTATGAATAATGCAATATGGTGAATATTTACATTGTTTTTATTTATGTGAATGTGAGTGTACCTGTGTGAGTTTATTTGGACTATGTGCATGTAGATGTTTGAGATCAGGGCATATTAGATCTCTTGGAACTGGAGATATAAGTGATTATGAGTTAGCTGATGTGAGTGCTAGGGATTGAACCCAGGTCCTCTGCAAGAGCATTTAAGTGCTCTTAACTGCTAAGCCACCTCTCCAGCCTTAAGTTCTTTAAAAAATTATCTATATTATATTTATTTTACTCTATGAATGTTTTGCCTGCATGTATGTCTGTTTGCCACTTGTGTACTTGGTCCCTATGGAGGTTAGAAGAACGAATTAGATCCCCTGGAGCAGGAGTTACAGGCGACTGTAACTCCTGGAAATCAAATCCAGGCCTCCTGCAAGAGTAGCTGGTGCTCTTAACTTCTCAGCTATCTCTCCAGCCCTGAGCCTTAAATTCTCCTTTTTGTAAATTTTGTTTAAATTAGAAACAATCTTATTTTACATATCAATCCTAGTTCCCTCTCCCTCCCATTCTCCCATGTCCCCCAATGACCCCCATCCCATCCCCCATCCACTCCCCAGGGAGGGTGAGGTCTTCCATGAGGGACCATCAAAGTCTGTCAAGTCATTTGGGGCAGGGCCTAGGCCCTACCCAGTGTATCTAGGCTAAGAGAGTATTCCTCCATGGGGAATGGGCTCCCAAAGCCCACTCATGCACTAGGGATAAATACTGGTTTCACTGCCAGAGGCCCTATAGACTGTCCAGGCCTCCTAGCTGACACCCACTTTCAGGGTGCCTGGTTCATTCCTATGTTGTGAAAGAGCTCCATTTATAAATAATGCAGAGACCTCACTTTGGTAATAAAGTAAAAAAATTCGGCTTACAGACTCACAAAGTAATCTTTATGCACCTGAATTTTGGGAACAGTTTAGAAACTGTGTGAGAAATGACTGACTAGTCAGATCTAGTTAGTATACAACAAACCTCAACATCATTTATTCTAGTCTATCCACAGAACTCTGGATTGGGTTTCTCTTAAACTTTCCCTGTGTAGTTCAGGCTGGCCTAGAGCTAATAATGATTCTCCTGCTTCAGCCTTCCAAGTGCTGGCATTATATACACATGCCCCCATTCCCACCTAGTCAGATACTTCTGATGCTGTACATAGCCTGCAAGGCATCTTTCTTTCTTTCTTTCTTTCTTTCTTTCTTTCTTTCTTTCTTTCTTTCTTTCTTTCTTTCTTTCTTTCTTTTTTTCTTTCTTTCTTTCTTCCTTCCTTCCTTCCTTCCTCCCTCCCTCCCTCCCTCCTTCCCTCCCTCCCTCTCTCCCTCTCTTTTCTTTTTATTTGAGACTGAGTTTCTCTGTATAGCCCCCGCTGTTCTGGAACTCACTCTGTAGACCAGGCTGGCCTCCAACTCAGAGATCCCTTTGTCTCTACCATCCAAGTGCTGAGATTAAAGGCTTGTGACATCACCGCCAGGCATTTTCTTAATTAGTGAATTATGGGGTAAGGGCCCAGCTCATTGTAGGTGGTGCCATCCCTGGGTTGGTAGTTCTGGGTTCTATAAGAAAGCAGGCTGAGCAAGCCAGTAAGCAGCACCCCTCTATGACCTCTGCATCAGCTCCTGCCTCCAGGTTTCTACCCTGTTTGAGATCCTGTCCTGACTTCCCTCAATGATGGACTATGATGTTGAGGAATGAGGAAGTATAAGCCAAATAAACGCTTCCTCCTCAACTTGCTTTGGTCATGGAGTTCCATCATAGCAATCAAAACCAGAACGAAGACATACTCTAAGAAAAACTCTATTTAATAAAAAAATCCCAGATCTAACTTCTATTACATCTTAGAATTAAATTTCATGGAGGAGCAGCAGTTCTCAAATGTATTCAAATAAACTTACAAATACATATATCAATGATCAATCCCAAAGAAAATCTATCATGTATTATAAAACATTATCTTTTAATGGTAATCACTGTTATACCATTCTTACTGCCAAACAATACTCCAAAATGTAGATACTGGGGTCAGTGAAATGGCTCAGAAAGTAAAAGGCACTTGCTTCCAAGGATTAGGATCTGAGGTTTGATCCCAAGAATCCACATTGTAGAAGGAGAGAATTGACTTCTGTAAGCTATCCTCTGTGTCCATACCTTAGCATGCATAACTGCCCCGATCCCAATAGATAATAGATGAAAAGAGAAGTAAATGTTAAGTACTAATACTAAAATACCTTTTGGTAATTTGTAGAGGATCATCAAGGACTGGGTCATTATCAAATGTTTCCTTATCAAAAAGTCTCTTTATGGCATAGTTTGCCAGCTGTTCCATAAGAAGGTATGTTTCATTAATGTGCAAAAACATTGAAAAATAGTGATCTTCTCCTTGGGAACATACATGAATGCTCTCTGTTAGTATAACAGTTGAAGTCTTTTCTAGTTTTGAGATTGCATCCCAGGAGATAATGAGTTTAACTGCAAATAAGAGTTGTAAGTAAGTGCAATTAAATTTTCAATATTGATTTATGTTCATAATTCACTTCTTTTATCATGACCACTGGAAAAATGATACAGTACTTTAGAGGTCAAAGTTAGTTAAAATTTTGAAGCATTTTTCATAAATATATAATAATCAGTGATTCTAAAGACATATATATACATATATACATATATATATATGTTCTTGATTTTTTTGTTTTGTTTTTAAGGGTACTGGGATTGTTTCGCATGCCTGACATGCATTCTACCACTGAGTTATAAACCCAACACTTGTAACAGATATCATTTTAAAGAATTAGAAAAAGATTTTGATGCTTAAATCTGTTTCTTCATATGTTATTATCTAATTATAAAACCATTGATGTAAAAGCTATACACATGCTATAAATAATACCATTTGATTCTTTGTGGCTGCAAAATGAGATGTATGAGGTACAATGGCTACTAGCTTATGCTGTATGTTTACAACAAGAATTAAAACACATATTAAAGCAAGTGGGCAGCTTCTAATGAGGTAGAAATGGTTATATACCAGATGCTTATCACTTAAAATTCATCTGCTATTCATATGTCTAAGACTTTATATCCACATTTTAGTTGTTTCCTGTGTTACATAGAGAACCTTAAAAGAATTCTTTCTGTGGTTGAAACCTTTTTGACTTGAGAATATAATTTAATTACTTATAATATCAATCCCATTACTGCATACACAACTTAATGCCACTGCGTTGATAAGTCATTCAGAAAGTTGAAAGCCACAGACACTTACTTTCTGATCCTAGCAAGAAAGAATAGAAGCTCAGAAAATTGGTACTTAGATACAGCCAACCCTGACAAGGAACCCGTCCTCTCCAATAACTGCAGGAATAATACGTTACTAATTTTTCCTGCTCTGGTAGACCAAAAGATTTTTCAAATTTCAAAAGGGCTTCTCGAAATTTCTCAGGATCATCTTCTTTAGCAAAAGAATCTTTTCCCTCTTCAGCAATCAGTCCCTGGAAAAGATAAAATAGCTTCTGAAAACTTACCATCACCTAGCAACAAAAATCTTTTGATATTTAATTTTAAGTATTGATTAAATAGATCTATATGTGTGTATATACATAGGTTGTATGTATACATGTGTGCATAGCATACTTCTCTTAGGAAGAGATGAGCACATTGTCTTTAGTTTTGTAGCAGTTTTTTTTTATAAGTAGCTATCACAAATGTAGGCATCAAGCATCTGAATGAACAAAGGCATTGTTCAAAATCCTATTTAAGAGACAGTGAAAGGAAAACACCACTAGGAATATTCACAAGTGCACCAAAACCAAGCCATTGTATAATTTCCTGAAGCACTTATCCTGGCACTCACACATGTGCTTCTGAAAGTCCTAAAAAGTGCCAGTAAAAGGAGGACCTTCTGTGTCACCTCCAATCTTTACTGAAGAGGGCTGAAGATTTTAAGTACACCATTTACAGAATATATCCATATCACTTATTTTTTTTGGAGTAATGCACATTTTATTTGAGGGCTTAGAATTCACTCCAACTAAGAAATGAGGAATTTAAAGGTAAGCTGATTTCTGTAGCTTCTTATTGTATGTATGTATATATATATGTATACACACACATACATATAAACAGGGTTTATTATGGCATTTCCATACATGTACATCATTGCTCATAATTCACCTCTATCACCCTCTCTTGTCCCTCACTATCTCCACTCCTACAGACCCCTTCCTACTCCAATTTCAATGTCATATATGTGTATATACAACATAGATTTTGATATATGTTAAATTTGTGCATGAGAGATACATGCAATGCTAGTCTTTTTCTCATATTTTTCTACAATCTAGATATTAATAATATTTAAATCTGTATATGAAACATGTAATATTTGTCTTTCATTTTATCCCCAATTGTCTCTCTGTTCCCTTTCTTTCTCCAAGTAGTACCATCCTTCATTTTGGGCATGTGTGTGTCTGTGTGTGTGTGTGTGTGTGTGTGTATTTTGTGTAGAATTTAAATTCTTCAAAGGAAAGAAACATGGGACACTTGACTTTGAGTCTAGATTTTTTTTACTTAACATAGTTATCTTCATTTCTATATACTTTCTACAAATTACATCATTACTTCATTACGGGAGAATAAACTCCACTGTGAATATATAACTTATCTTCTTTATTCACGCATCCATTCCACTTACTCTTATTTTTCCTTGTACAAAATTAGTAATATCTTCATTTGAATCAAACACAGATAAAGTCTTCATGATATTTTGTTCCAACCAGTCCCAGTGTTTTGTTATTTCTTCTCTGTTGGCCCCTGATTAATAATATAGGGAAGAAATATTCAAGGAAAAGCCCTTAATAAACCTTCTCTTGATATTTAAACAAATTTCGTTTAAAAATAAATAAATCTATTTTGTCATAGTCACAAATGATGCCTATACAGAAATAAAGTTACATATTTATTCTCTATCTCATCTGAATATATGAACATGAACAGCATATTCATACTTATTCTAAATAGAAACACAATGTTTAATGAAATGGGAGAAAAGCGGTTATAACTCATAATATAAAAAATTCTGAAAATAAGATAACAATAATTAGTGCCTAGAAAAAAATCATTATCTTTAAAAAGCATGTAGGAAACACAGACACACACACACACACACGCACACACGCACACGCACATGCACACGCACATATTTTATACCCCTTGGTCAAATACAACTACTAGCGTTGTGCCTAAATTCTTTGTGGCTGAAAATAACAAGCTTGTGACTGTCCTTTTCACTGTGGACTTTTTACTATGGTTACTAAACATACAAACCCATTGGTAATAACCAGTCCATTCACTAGAAAACTTAGGAAACTTACAGACATTCCAAGATGGAAGTCAGGAACCTGTGGCAATAGTAAACCATAAGGCAACAGTCTTAGCTGTCTTATTGAGGGTCATATTATATATTATTATTTCTAGGTTTGCTTTCACTTGTAGAAACTTTCATTATCCAGCCCCACTCCTCCCATTACCAAATATCTTTAAGTCTTCCTAGAAATATGGATTATATTGATCTCACTAAAAAGAAATAATCTTGACTTCATAGAATATTCCCATGGTATATGAAGGATCACAGTAAAATTTTATTGACAGCCAGGTGGTGGTGGCGCACGCCTTTAATCCCAGCACTCCGGAGGCAGCCTCCAAAACAAAAACAAAAAAAAATTATTGACACTGAAAAATTGTTCATTTTGTATCCAGTTAGACTTTATTTTTGGTTTTTACGAGACAGGGTTTCTCTGTATTGTTTTGGAGGCTGCCAGTCCAGCCTGGCCTCGAACTCACAGAGATCCGCCTGCCTCTGCCTCCCGAGTGCTGGGATTAAGGCATGTGCCACCACCGCCCGGCTTTTTTTTTTTTTTTGGCCAGTTAGACTTTTATTCATGTTATGAATAAGAACTATATTCATGAATCAGTTTCATTAGCAAGAATAGTCACATTTTACTTTTTAAAAATAGACAGGACATTTTGTTTTCAAAACCATTTTGGCTAATCAGCTTCAGAACTGAGGTTACAAAATTCTCTTAATCCGAATTTAGTTTTGATACAATGCAGTTTAAAAGAGCCAGAACAGACTCAGCAGGGTGACTAAAGGAAATTTAGACAAGAATTTCCTTCAAAGTCACACATCCTGATAAATGTATGCTGTATGTTCACAAATATGAAGTGTCTATAAATTCATGTGCATTTTCTCAAACAAACACACACACACACAGACATACAGACACACAAACACAAACACTCTAGAAAAGAGGGGAGGAGAAAAGAAGAATCAGTCAGTTAACACTAAAAATTCCAGAAATATGAGATTCCAGTTTTATTCAATATTACAGTGGAAATGAAGTGACATGGAAATCAAAGACAAATATTACATATGAATTAAAATCATTCTGATTTGTATTATTTGGAAAACTCATCACAACCTCTTTCCCATGCTACCCACAATATACTCTGTGGAAAGGTCTGGACCATGTGGGCATGAGTGATTGTGTAGCACTACCTGCAAATCATTTCTTCATATTTCATGGTCACGATGACTTTTGAGAAACATCAAGTATGTGAATTAAAAAATTCAAATATTTAGGGTTCTACTTTTTCAGGGAAGAACCTTTACAATTTGAGCTCACCATAAACTCTATGTTCTCCTTATCTCGGTTATTAGAAGGAGAGAAAGAGAATACTGATATTTAACATGGAAGGTCTAATCTCCCCAGCAGTTTGGTAAAGAATTTACTACGTTTTTAAAAAGAGCCAGGCAACAATAACACTGACTTAAAACATGCTTAGAATCTGCACCTGTGGCCCACACACTTCAGGACTCTCATATCAGTAGAGTGTTAATTTTCCAATAGCCTATAATCATTCTTAAAGAGAGGTGGTATTGTTATTCTCTCAAAGAATAGTTGCATTTAACTTGCTCCAAGATCTCAATAACTGGGGAATATAAGCAAATTTGAATATTCAGTTTTCATACATACAAAGCACTTGTAACAGTGCTTAGTGTACAGTGACATGTGATATTAGTTGATTTTGTTTTTAGATAAGAATCTTATACATTTCAATAAGATTAAAATCTTCATTAATAATAATGTTTTAGCAAAAGTAATTTCATTTCTGTAATTATTAACTCTTCACTTTGGAACTTGAGACTCAATTAGTTCTAATCTAATTATCTTAGTGTCTTAATTCTATTTGAACTGTAAGGCTTTTTAAGCTATCATACTTACCACATGCAATTGACAAGTAAACTTGAGAATCCGGTGTCTGGTGCAAGATGCGAAACGGAGCCACTTTAGCAGTAGAGTCCAAGACAGAATCAAGAGTTCCAACCAGAAGCCCTGTTGTAGCAGAAAAAATTTTTTAAAAATATGGACTTTACATGAGATTAAAAACATAGATTCAAATGACAAATTAATGAACTTATTTTAAAAATCTTACTCCAAGGAGTCTTTATTGAGATATTTTTCTTAAAGTAAATATATAGAGATGATAGGGAGTAGTCAGGGACCTGTGTTCAATCCCCAGAACCAACATTAAAAAGCCAGATATGATGGCACACACCTGGAGATCCAGAGACAAGATGGGTCCCTGGGAATCACTGTTTAGCCAGCCTAGCCTACCTGGTGAATTCCAGACTAATAGGAGACCACAATTCAAGGGAAAAATTGTAGACGACATCTAAGGAACAAAATCCAAGGTTGTCCTCTGACACACACACACACACACACACACACACACACACACACACACACACACACACACACCTAACCAGACATAATAAAGACCAAACAAAAATACATATTTGGGATGGAAAGGATAATATTTATCAATGTAAGTAGTGCTTGAAAAAATAATCTTTCAATAAACATATGTGAGGCTTAGTTGTCCAGATATGTTATCTGCAATATTTCCAAAGTTCTATAATAAGGTTTTGTATTTATTAGACAAGGAGGTACAATTTAGTACTAGAGACTATATGAAAATGAATTCTGGTTTTGTCACTTACTCCAATTTGAGCTTGTTAAAGTAGTTTCCATTTCTACATCCTCATTTGTAAAATAGTGAGGACAAGAAAGAATCAGTTGCAAAGGGTATAATAAAGATGAAGTGAGTTATAACTTAGAGCAGTGGTTCTCAACCTCCCTAATGCTGTGACCCTTTAATAAACTTCTTCACATTGTGGTGACCCCAACCATAAAATTGTTTTCATTATTACTTCATAACTGTAATTTTTCTACTGTTATGAGTAGTAATTTAAATATCTGACATGTAGGATATCTGGTATGCCACCCCTATGAAAGGGTTGTTCAACCCCCAAATGGGTTGCAACCCACAGACTGAGAACCAATGACGTAGTGCAATGCTCAGCACACAGAGAAACATTCAATATTAGTTACTTTGTATTGTATAAGGACATCTTAAAATGTAAATAAGGTAAAGTTATCATTATTAAGAATGTTTCAGTAAAATGATTTTCTTTTCAACAGTTCTTAATTCCTCAATTTTGCATTCAAGGTTCTTGCTCAATTAGTTCCATTATAATTATCTGATTATATTCCCTACTACTTCCTGGAACAACATTTTCTGTTTTCACAAATAGCTAGCTAATTTTTCCCTTAGAGTCTTTGCTGAACAATTATCTTTTTACTGAGAAATGTTAACAAAAGTCTTCTAGCTAACTCCAGCTAATCCAAATTGCATATTTCCTTTAAGATCCACTTCCCCTATGAAATCTTTAGTAGCACTGCCAAGCAATAATGTTTTCCCTCTTCTCTAAATACTTATAACACTTTAATTCTATACTACATAACTGAGTATTTACTCATTAGGTTGGTTATTACAACTACTTCCTAAGTGTTTCATATATAATATGTATGCCTCCTTATATAGATTATCAGATTTCTGAGAATAACTATGTTTCCTACCTCTGGGTTTGTATGGGGTTTTTTTTTGTTTTTTTTTTCTGGGTTTGTATGTTAACTTCAAGCACAATATGGCACAAGGTGTTACCTTATCTATGTCATGGAATGGCTCAAATATATACATCTACTTTTCTATTTTGAAAGCTTTGATTGGCTGAGTGACAGTTTTACTCTATGAGCATTTCTTTTTAATTAAGCATACATAATGCCAAGAAAAATTAAAAACAATTATAAGCCAGGCTTTTGGCTCTTTTCCTATTTTTAGGGAAGAGTTCAGATTTCAAATTAGTTTTATAGGTAGGCTGGCATATATGCGATAGGAAATCATTAAACTCATAAAGGGAAGCAAATTAGAGAAGAGAAGACAGAAAATGGAAATTTGATTTAGCTGAAAAGACAAGAGTGTGGATATGGGACTAAAGATAAAATAAAAAGGGTCACAAATGTAGCTTAATGTTCGTTAGTAATATGACCCAGGATTTTGATAGTGGGAAAAATTCTTGATAAAGATTTCTGGGGTTGGAGAGATGGCTCAGCGGTTAAGAGCACTTGTTCTTGCAGAGGACTAAGCAGACACATGATTGTTCACAACCATCTGTAGGCACGCATGTGGTGCACAGACATACATGCAGGGAAATCACTCATGTACATAAATAAATCTGAAAACTTGTTTGTTTTATGAGAGAGAGAGAGGGAGAGAGAGAGACAGAGGAAGAGAGAATGAGAGAGTGCATGGAGTTGGGTGTGTATGATGGTGAAGAGAGTCTGGGAGGAGCTGAAGGAGGGAAAGTATATGATCAAAATATATTACACATAATTTTTTAAGAATAAATTTTAAGAAGAAGTATACATGACACTGCTGAACCCTATATCAAATGTCCAGTCCTGAAGATATACATGCAAATAGCATTATACAAATTGAGCTGGTTATATTTAGAACACACACACACACACACACACACATACACAATTGTTGAAAAAGAGCTCATGAATTGAAAATAAAGCAAAGAGAGGCACATGGTAGGGTATGGATGGAGGAAAAGGAAGGGGAAATGATGTAACTGTAATCTCAAAAATAAAAGAAAAATTCTTTAGTGAAAGAAGTAAATAAAATAAAATCTAGTGGGATAAAGTTTTGCCTAATCAAGTGGATCTCTGTGAGTTCAAAGCCAGCCTGGTTTACAGAGCGAGTTCCAGGACAGGCTCCAAAGCAATACAGAGAAACCCTGTCTCGAAAAAACAACAAAAAGTATTGCCTATTGACATAATTCAAATTAGGACAGCACCATGTAGTGGGCTTAAATTAAGCCTCTTTGAAATTGTATAGTGACAAGCTTTTCTAGTCCATATGGTAGGTATTTTATTCCTTACATAAGAAAATGAAACAGGACTTTAAACAAGAAGATTTCTTCAATGGCAGCATGTAGATTATAAAGGAAAGAAATGACTGGATATGGTCAAAAGTTAGGGTATGGGCTGGGGATGGAGTTGATGGCAGAGTGCTTGCCTAGCATACATGAGACCCTGGGGTTTGATCTTCAGCACTGCAAAAGGAAACTAAAAGGAAACTAAGAATTGAAGATTTTATTGAAGCATCAAGAATCAGGAAATCTAGACAAATACTATTTAAGAGGAGGCACTGGATAAGAGACAATGAAGATAGAGGAAATGATTATGCTGCAACTAATGAGGAGGGAAATAGAGATTTCAGCATAAAAAGATAATTAAGCATCAAAGTAGTAGCTGTAAGAAGTTGAACATTTGGTCAAGGATGAAGGGGAGAGGAGCTAAACATACACAGTCTTTTAATAGTAATGGAACTGAAATTAGTTGGAAAATGAAGAAAAGGAGAATGTTCTCAATTTGAAGGCAGGAGGGTGAAAATATTTAAAAGACAAAAGAGTCTTAGCAAAAGCTAAGATAGATCAGCCAAAAAATCAAGTCACATGTATATATACATATAATAAATTGACAAAATTGTCAGGATAAAGAAATGAAAACTTATGGAAGTGCTTACTAAAAGTTGGACATGGGGGTACACACCTAGAATCCCACCATTTAGGAAGAGCAAGAATTCAAAGACAGTTTGGGCTACATACCAAGTGTGAGGTCAGCCTGGGCTACGTGAGAGCCTTTCTCAAAGGGGGAAAAAGTATTTATTTACAACAGGGCAGTTTGGCTGCTAGTTTATTTGACACTTGTCTTCCAAGAGTTTAATTTTAAACAATGTTTGGGAAAAATAAAACAATATAGTAACAAGAAAGCTATTTATTTATTTATGAAATTTTTAACAAAACTAGCTCAATTGTTATTTCTTTATTCATTATAAAGGTATTATTAGAAGAATTGGCAAAATATAAACGGGTAAAGTTTGGTAGAAAGAAACAGTGGTGGTGTGGATGTCTTAGGAGGAAGAGAGCACAGACAGGAGATGACACAAAATCATTTCCAAGTGACACAACTATCCTCTGACAGGTTGTAATGACACTAGCAACAGAGCTGTCAAAATCACTGACAAGAAAGGTTAATATTATTTTTTGGCAACAGAAATGTTGACGACGTTATGTCTTACATAATATAAAAGGAAATTGTTAGGATTTTATAAGTACATGAAATTAGGTAGTTAATATAAAACTATGCAACAAGTAATTTGGAAGCTAGCACTAGAATACATTTCTAGTCACTTGGGGAACTCTTCCAGCTCATTAAGCTGTAATCATCATCAAGTCCCTGCAAGTCATACAGGAATTAATATGTGCCAACGTCTGAGCTCTAAAAGCACAAGAAAATAAGCAAGCAACTTTGGGTTGCTTTTCCATATACACAGAGGTTCATCTTTTTATTTTTTTCCAGTATTCAGTATCCAGGGCCTGGCACATGCTAGGCAAGCACTCTACCACTAAGCAAAATCTCCATTTAACCCCCATGGCTCTTTTATTGCAGTCTAAGATGGCTAGCTGTTTTGGATACCACATCGTTATTAAATTATGCTTATGATAAAACAACACTGACCCTTTTTATAAATGTAAGCACTGGCCTAGATTTTATTTGTATTATTTGTATAGTAGATATTATATATATATATTAATCTTACATCATTGATTTTTTCAAAAATGATCTTTTTCTTTTAATAACCTTCTAATTTTTGATATTATAATTATATCATTTCTTCCTTCCCTTTCCTCCTTCCAACCTCCCCCCCGCTCTCTTTCAAATTCACGGCTTCTTTTTAATTGTTGTTGTTGTGTGTATAATGTATGAATACAACCTGTTTAGTCTGAAAAATATCATTTGCATGTGTGTTTTCAGGGCTGACTATTTGGTATTGGAAAACCAATTGGCATGCTCTTTCCTGGGAAAGACTGTCTTCCACTTTCAACATTCTTTAATTGTCCATAGTTCTTGGTGTAGAGTTG